GAGCGAGCTGCCGCCGAGCCCTCGTCTTCCGTGGCGGAGCCAGCTGCGTGCCGCTCTTCCTCTGCAGAGGAGGAACCCCCGGCACAGCCCTCCCGCCTAGGCTGTCGTACCTGGTTAGCTTCCCAGCATTGTTGTGACAGGCCCTTGACGGCACCTGATGCCGGTTCTCTAATGGGGGGGGAGGGGGGAGACTTAAGCAGTTTTTGAAGTAAGTTAATGTCAGTACAGGAGGTACGGAAATGTGACAGAAATCGTGAAGGACTGAAGTTACGGATTGCTCCAAACAAATCAGGGGTGGGAAATAATCATATCTTAGAGTGAGGGTTTAAAAGGGACAGTTCCTTAGGAGTACTTCAATCTTGAAGATACTTGAAGACAGGAAATTCAAGCTCAATGGTTTTTTTTTTTTTTACGTCCTTTACAACATCAGAGAGTAAAAACGAGTCTGCTGGTAGTGACTAATCTTCATTTATAGTTAGAGTGCACTTATTTCCACAAAGTAGTTTTCGTTGAGCCTTACATCGGATTCATTAAGTTATTTTATTCCTTTAATAAAGCAGTACTGTAGGGTAGGTGCACTGCTGTTATAGTTACCCACATGCTTGCATTTCATTTTATAGCTATGGAGAGGACGTCCTAGTAAGGATCATCAACTACATGTAACTTTCAGATATTTATATTTAAACTTATAGCTGTAGTTTAATAAAGTGTATTCTCTTATTTGAAATGCAGTACCGCCTTTAGATTTGTATCAGCTTCTTACCCTTTATATCATTATCAGTGATCAGTAGAGTAAAAATGAAATTAAAATGGGTTAGAAAAAAATTAAAGTGAAATGAGTAGAGATTTATAAACATTTAGACACACCGTCCTTTAAAAATGTATGTAGATTCAGGTTTTACAAATTATTTGTAATAAATGTATCTTAATTGTACTGAGGCCATTTTTCTCCCATTAGAAGGTGGATTTTTTGCTTTGTCCTTCCCATTTTCATTTATGTAGTAGTGGTGGCCAGTTGAGACAGCATCAGTAATCCACTCTATTAGAGATCGCTACTTTAAAAAAAAAAAAGTCAACTTGATTTGAAATTCATCTGCAGCCAACATGAACAGTGGTTGCAGGGATCGAATTTATTTTTATGTTAGTTTTTTTTTTCCCTCTGAAAGTTAAATTTGCTTTTTTGGTTTTATAAAACCACAATAGTGTCATCATACCTGTGAAAATTTATAAAAGTACCACGATGTCAATATTCAGTTTGGGTTGTTTTTTCCAACTGTCCCTTAAATGACTGTTTACAATTAGTTTGTTTGGATCAAAATCTCATAGAGATCCACATGTTGCATTTGGTTGATACATCATTTAAATCTTTTTTAATAGAGCAGTTCCCTCATGTCCCTTTCTCCCCATAATAGTCTAGAGTTAACTGATTGTATCTGCATGACATCCTTTAACATGTACATCCCTTTATTTCCTTTAAACCAGTAGTTAGATTTAGAATCACATGGTCCAGTATAGTAGCCACCAGTCAGGTATTTAAATTAATTAAAATGAAATCAAATTAAAAATTCAGTTCCCTAGTTTCATTATCCACATTTTAAATGCCCAATAGTCACAAGTGCCTGGTGGCTAACCTTGGAATGGTGTAAACATAAAATATTTCAATAATCACAGAAAATTCTGTTGAATAACACTAGAAGATTAGATTCAACCTCAATTTTTTTGGGGGGGGGCAGGGTGGTGGGGATAAGAAGATTTCCTAGGTGGTGCAGTAGACAATCTATTGCATTAATTATCAGAGAGGCATGAAATGCCTGAGTTGTCTCTCTTGTGTTAAGATTGAGCAGTGTAATGCGTTCAGGTATTGTTAGCCCAATCCATCCATCGTGAAATTCCCTATGAGCTTTTCACTTAATGGGGAAATCTTTTCATGGATCTAGATTGCCTGTATCCATTATTGCATTAGGGATTGCAGAATGCTGATATTCTAATTCTCTCATTCCTTCAGTGTTTATTAGCTGGAAATCTTTTATGAAGAACAACTCTCCCCCACCAGCCATTTGACTACCATCAGCTATTTGAAACGTAGTTTGTACAGGAAAGGCAAGAAAAATGCTTAATTCTTTCCCTCTATTTTCAGACTACAGTAATGAGTTGGTGGCCTAGCAACCTCCAAAGGTAACCATGAGGGTTTTTGCATTTTTTTAAAAAATCATCATGGACTTGAATATATTTAAACTGTTTCAACTTACTGCAATTTTGTTTTTCAATACCCAAATTTTCCTACCTTTGGGTAGTGGCATCTCCTTTAAGTTGGCTCCTGTCCACCTTGATATGACTAGTAGCCTTTGATAATTCCCTTTTTTTCTGGTAAAAGCATGTTCCTCTCTCATTTATACATTAATGGCCACCAAAAAGACCTGGTTCCTTTGAGTGGAAGATGGTATTTAGAGACCACAGCCTGGGTGCTCTTGCTGCTAGTTTGGTCAATGGCTCTAGGATTTACGATGGCCAGAGTTAGAAAATACACTTATTATCATTTATTATTTTTTAAATATGAATTTTTGAGAGAGGGAGAGCATGCGTGCGTGTGTGTGCGTGCGCGTGCACACACACGTGAGAGAGGGGCAGAGAGAGAGGGAGAATCTGAAGGAGGCTCCAGGCTCTGAGCTGTCAGCACAGAGCCCGATGCGGGGCTCAAACTCACGAACTGTGAGATCATGACCTGAGCTGAAGTCAGATGCTTAAATGACTGAGCACCCAGGCACCCCAGAAATACATTTTTTTAAAATAAATATACAGAATTCACACTGATTATTTACATTTTAGGGTTTTTTTGTATTCTTATATGTGTGTCTTTTTGTCTTGCTGAAAATCTTAGAACCACATTAGGTTAACATAATTACTTTTTTTCTTTATCCTATATTCTACATATTGGTTTTAAGTTAATGATACCAATTTTATTATTAACCATATGATTCCTAATAGTGTTTAGGATTTCTTTGCAGTTCTTTTTTATCTTTAATATAAATATATATTTTATCTTTAATATATATATATATAATGATATAATATATATCACAGCTTCGGCTGTGTACAGTAAAACTTGCATTTTAAAGGCATATGAAACAATTTGCTATATGGTTTGTTTGCCAACTTGATATCTAGTTGATACTTGTTTCATTTTGTTTCCAATTTTTAATATTCCTTTTTTAATTTGGATTTTTTTATATATGTAACAAATTAGCATAGTTCTCAAAACAAGTACCTGTAAAACACAGATATCCAGACAAGTTTAGCTTTCATTCCTCTTTTCTCCACCCTGTTTCCCTTTGTTATAGGTATCATGTTTACTGGCTTTGGATTTATCCTTTGATAAAAACAAATGCATTATCTACTTGCTTTCCCCATCTGGTAATATATGCCTTGTAGATCCTTCCATAGGAGTATGTTATCCCTTTTGACAGCTTCATAACATTCCATTGGTGAGTGAATATTCAACTAGTCTCTCTCTCGATAGGCTTTTGTGCTATGTCCTACTATTGCACATTGTGCTGCACCGTGTGTCCTTGTGCATGTGTGACTTTGTATTTTTGCCAATGTGTCTTTGGGATAGTTTCCTAGAAGTGGCATTGTTGGGTCAAAGGGTAAACACATATTTCTCAGTTGCTAGGTATTGCCAAAATCTCTACAGAAATTATACCATTCTGTGTTCCAAATTTGCCTACCATGTATGTGAGTGCCTGTTTTTCCATAGCCGTATCAGAGTATATTGTTAAATGTTTGAGCTTTTGTTAATCTAAATATAACTTCCTGTATTTTAAATTTGTATTTCTCTTACTTGTGAGACATCTTTTCATGTTTTGTTTTAACTTAATTAAGTTTTTATTTTCATTTCAGTTAGCATACAGTGTTACATTAATTTCAGGTGTACACCTTAGTGATCGGTACTTCCATACAACACCTGGTGCTCATCACAGCAAGTGCCCTCCTTAATCCCCATCACCTATTTCACCCATCCCTCCACCCATGTCTCCTCTGGTAACCATCAGTTTGTTCTGTATAGTTAAGAGTGTTTCTTGTTCTCTCTCTCTCTCTCTCTCTCTCTCTCTCTCTCTGTCTCTCTCATCCCTATGCTCATTTGTTTTATTTCTGAAACATAGGAGTGAAATCATATGGTATTTATCTTTCTCTGACTTATTTTGCTTTGCATTATACTCTCCATCTCCATCCATGTTGTTGCAAATAGCAAGATTTCATTATTTTTTATGGCTGAATATTCCATTGCATGTACATACCACATCTTCTTTATCAATTGTTGGACACTTGGGCTGCTTCCTTATCTTGGCTGTTTAAAATAATGCTGATATTTTCATATGTTTAAAGTCATTTGCATTTCTTTTTGTGTGAACTGCTTGTTCATATCTTCTGCCCATTTTCTATAGATTCCTCCCCCTGTCTGGTTTTTATTTATTTATTTACTATTTTTTCCCCTCAACTTTTAGGAAATTTTTATATATTGGATAATTTACCCCTTGTGATAAAACTTTCAAATACTGTTATTTATCTTTTGACTTTGCTTATTGGCATTTTCCCTATGTACAAGTGTATCTTTATCTACTCTGATTTCTCGGTCTTTCTTCTTATTCTTTCTGGACTTTGAGTGATAGTTTGGTCAATGTTTTAAAATTTCATTTTTATTTTGGAAAATTTCTTTGATACTTTGTGTTTTTTCCCTTAAGTTTAGGTAGGAACCTTTCTGAGGAATGATAAGTTATATTGATTGTTTATTGGAACAGCCAGTTTATCAGCCATAGTAAATCTGACAGAACCATATGTCTTTGTAATCATAGTAACACCAAGACAGGTAAGGGACAGAGCATTGTTACCCTCCTTTAAATGAGACGTGATGGGTAGGCATAACCCTTTTATTAGTACATATCAATTCATAATTCTATCTGGAGTTTTATTTTCTTCCTGTGTCCCATTTTGTGAGTAATTTGATCTTGGGCATATACTCTGAATATTTTTCCTGAATTGTAAAATGAAGAGGTTAAGTAAGAGGCCTTCAGATCCTTTCTAGCTCTTAAATTTCAATATACTAATGAATTTCAAAGCTGTGCCTGTTATTAGCTATCCTATGTGGATTCTTTTTCCCCTAAGACTTTAAGTGTCTTTTCTCTGTTTCCCACCCTGCATTTCCTTTAACTCTCCTATTCTAGATTTCACCACTTTAAAACAGCCTTTATTCCAAAGAAAAGTTGTAATTAATAACTTAAAAAGAGTTAACCATTAATAGCTTATGTCTGTTGATGTCTTGGTCTAACTGCAGAAATGACCATTGTAGAGCTACACCGTTTCCATTTAACCACATTTAGCATTTTATGTTAGTGGCAAGGAGTAGCAGATGATCAAACAGTAATTAAATTGGTATTTAATATTATGAACCAAGAATATCTAACTTTATATCATTATCACGTGGCACAGGCAAAGAAGAAAGCAAAGTGACATAGTACCTAGAGTTGAATGAAGCTCAGTTTGGCTAGCAAGGAATCAGTGATCTAGCCATGAGAAACTCAAATTAGAAAAGTCCATAGAAAATCTGGGTCCTTGCTGTTTACCTGATCCCAAGGAATGAGAACTGATGGTGTTTGGCAGCTATGCAAATAGATGGTGAAGATATTGGTAAAGAAACACACTAGTAAGATTATTTTCCACAGAGAAGGTTGATGGTTCCCCCACTCCACCATCATCCATTTTTTTAAAACAGAAATGTCTTTGTTTTAGTCTTAAACCATTTTTACTTCTGAAATGGCAGTTTTCCCAGATGTGGACTATTTTCATTATTGTGTTACTGCCATCTGGTGTCCATGGTGTTGAGCTTGCATTTTTCCTGTATTCAGACTTTTTCGTTTGGTTTCATTTATTGCCAGTAAGACACTATTAAAGCAAAAGAAGATATGAGGGTATTTTTAGATCTGAAACTGTAAAATATATAAACACTGCACATTGGTTGGGACTTGGGAGTCGCACTGCCTAGGTTTGATCCTAGGACTATAATTTGTAGTTTACTGTAGTCAAGATAGCCTCAGTTTCCTCAAAGTAGTAGTATCTTTTATGAGCGTTGTGAAGAATGAATTTGACTGTATATACAACACAGAACAATTGAGCATTCAATGGCTGTTACCTTCTGTTATAAATATTGTTAGTTATTAATAATATCCAGAAAATGTTAATGTATATTAGTAAATGTGTATTACTAATACATTAATGTTTAAGAATTATGTGACCTAAAAAAGTATAATTTTACTGATCATAATTTTGAATAACTGTAGTAGCACTGTCCTTAGGAATAGCTCTTTCTTTCTTTTCCTTTTTTTTAATTTTTTTATGTTTAGTTTTGAGAAAGAGAGAGAGCCCATGAGCGAGCAGGGGAGGGGTAGAGAGAGGGAAACACAGAATCTGATCAGACTCCAGGCTCTGAGCAGTCAGGACAGACCCCAGTGCGAGGCTCAAACTCACAAACTGTGAGATCACGACCTGAGTTGAAGTCAGACACTTAACTGACTGAGCCACCCAGGCTCCCCAGGAATAGCTCTTTCTTACAGATTTAATAAATACCCATGTACGGTAGTCAAGAGCATGCTACTTACAGTGCACATTTGATGGGCTATTAGAATCCCATGAAACCTTGGAGATGATAGTTCATACCCCCTCATTTTACAGATGCAAAAACTGAAGTCCAAGGACACAAAGCTGCCTAGTTGCAGAGCAGGGCTATATCTTGGGTTTTCATCTACATGGTGCTATGTGAACTATGCACTGCCTCTCAGCTCCCCAGAGGGGAATAAAACATGGAATGTAGTTATACTGTAATTAACCATATGATGGTTTGAAAGAAAGTGGATTAGAACATGACATTCTTTTTCTTTAGGTTTTTATTTTATTTAATGTTGGTGTAATATAATGGGAAAACCAACTGGAGAAAAACCCTCTCTGCCATATTTGTGCACAAATAGTTTAATACTCCTGTTAGTAACTTTAGAAATAAATGCAAATAACATGCAGTAGTTGTATTTTCCAATCTTTCATTCCTCTCTGTGTCTCCAGGACACCCTGTTTTCTCCTCTGTCGGTACATTTGTCACACGGGGGGATCATTTTGGGTTTAATTTTTTCTTTCTCAAACTGGACTATTAATTCCTTGAAAAGGACCATTTCTTTCATCATTATGTACCTGTGGTTAGTACAACACTGAATTCTGTGTTAAATGAAGGAATCCCCTTCTCTTGTCTTTATAATCGATGAGGCGTTAGTACAAAGGGGCAGAACCTCCCACCACAGCCTTTGAGAATTCCGTAAAGACTAATTCAGGGTTGAGCCTTTGAAGGGTTAAGGAAGAAAAGTAGTTCCTCAGGAATGAGAAGTGGTTTGACATTGGTTAATAGTTTTGTAGAGGTGAAGAAACCTACAACAGGTACTTCTTATTGGCAGGCACTTCCAAATTTAAGGGTAATCTTTCCCCTGTCCTTCTCACCTTCCTTTCTTTATGGTGCATCTTTACCTTTCTATGGCAGTCTGTTCTTTCTCCTTCCGTTCTTCTCTGCTAGACTCTCCTCTGCAGTTCTCCAGCTATGACCAGGTTGCACAGAGGGATAGGGAAAAGGGAGGAGAGTTGTGATAAGTTCAGCCAAAAGCATCTAGCATTTGCCATCTGAAATGCTACACTAAGCTCTGGAGCTGCAGAGGTGAATAAAATTCAGTTTCTGCCCTTAAGGGTTAAATAGTAAGGAAAAAGTGTGCAAAAATCTCATTCCCTGTGTAGTGTAACTCCTATGAAAGAGCTCTTAAGGACTTGCAGTGGGGGAAGCACAGAGGAGGGAGGACCCGTGGGGCTGCCTTTTGAGGGAAGGGAAGGTGTTCTGGGAAGCCTCACAGGCCTGCCATTTCAAGGGTGGGTAGGATCTCTCGTGATAGACCAAGAAGTTCAAGCTCAGGGCATTTAACCTTTTTATAGTATCAGTCTCTCTCTTTTTTAAAGGGCAGCGATCTTTACCTCTTTTTTTTTTTCTTTAAGTCTTTTCATTTATTTTGAGAGAGAGAGAGTGTGCCTGCATAAAAGGAGGGCTAGAGAGGGAAGGAGAGAGAGAGAGAGAGAGAGGGAGAATCCCAAGCAGGCTCTGTACTGTCAGCTCAGAACCTGATGCAGGGCTCAAATTCACAAACCCCGAGATCATGACCTGAGCTGAAACCGAGAGTCAGATGCTTAACTGGCTGAGCCACCCAGGTACGCCAATGTCACCTTTTTATAATATCTCTTTTTTTAAAAAAATAAAGGTATACTTTTCCTCTGATGTGTGTGACCCCTGATTACTTCCTCTCATTTTGTGAGGGGCTTTGTTGTTAGTGTCCTTCTGGGGCACAGAACTGGTTCACAGGAATGCAACAATAAGGTATGATTTCTATCATGTGGGAAGGCTGTCAGTAGCATTCAGATCATTGTAAGTCATTTTCTTGTAGTCTGAAATGTATTTGGTCCTAATATTTCTTGAAGGGATATTCCTGGACTGCTTCTACACCCATCCTAAGAAGTGGCTGCATTTTCTCATTGTTATTTGTTATTGTATGTTTTCATTCATATTCTTAGGTTTATAAGTTGGAATGTTAGAACTTGAAAAATGAATTTTCTCCTGACTGATTGTTTTTGCTTTCCCAGTTGCCAAGACAAAGGGGATTTGGCGATGGAGGCTTTGTTGGAAGGAATGCAAAATCAGGGACATGAAGGGTAAGATTGCTTTTGACCTTAAGCTCCTCACTGAGTTTAAAAAGCGTATCCAAGTTATCCCTCTATTTTGTGCTTTGGCTACAGAAGCAAAAGTGCTGAGCAAAAGCCCAGTTGATCCGTGTCATGTTTGTGGACGGCATCTCTCTTTGGGGCGTTGGCCTCATCTCAGTAGTGAAGCCAGTGAAGCTGGCTACTTGTTTTCATCCCCCTCTAAATTTTCTCCTCCCCAGAAGCAAACGTAGAAGTTCAGCAGTTTTGTACACTAAGAACAAATGCTTAAAAAAGTGTTTAAGCCTTAGTGATGATAGCTGTCTGTGGCCATTGCTGGACACCTGTTTGAACCCAGTGCACCTATCTATGTTTACTTCTTTTTCTGCCTCTGTAATATCCGGCACCTCCTGTAACTGTGAAGGATGTCAACAAGTTTACAATAATAAGGCCGGCTGCAGGAGGTTTCTAATAATAAGGCGGGAAGAAATCATTGAAATAAACCTGGCTCAACGATGAATTTCTTGAAACAGCTCTTAAAATTGTATTATCACCTTCCCACTAGCCTACTCACTTCCAAGGCTTTTTATTTTGGTTAGCTAAGAATGTGACAAGCTCGCCTGGATTCTTCCTGATAGCTCTCCTAAAACATTACAGAAGAGCTACTTGTTGGTCATGGAAGCCCCGCTCACAAGCCAGACTTAAACATCATCTCGTGTTTGAACAAACGATTTAGGCTTTAGGGTTGGCTATGAGAGGAAGACAGAACATGCAGTGGAGTAAGTAATCATCTTAATATGAACATTAAAAGGAAAAGCTCGGAAGTCCTTTTCTTTGCTTCTAATAATTTCTTTACTGACACTGTTCCACCTCAGGTGGGTTTATGTCTGCTACGTTTTTACACGCGAAGGATAAGTCATGGGCATATGATCTTATTTACAGGGGATTTTTGACATCCTGTGAAGCAGAACTACAAGAGCTCATGAAACAGATTGACATAATGGTGGCTCATAAAAAATCTGAATGGGAAGGGCAGACACATGCTCTTGAAACTTGCTTGGGCATCCGTGAACAAGAACTGAAGGCTCTTAGGGGTCAGTTGGACATGAAACACAATGAGGTAAAGCCGTTGGTTCACTCCTCTTTTTGATATTTTGACCTTGGCTTTTGTATTAAATATATTTCTAAAATATTTGTTGAAGAAAGCATTTGTGTGTTGTTTCTGTATTACTTCAGTGGTTTCTTTTAGAAGAAAAATTCATTGTGAAAACATGTAAGAATATTAATATTTATTTCAAGGATCATGTTACTTTGGTCACATAGAGCATATAACCTCTTAAAGAATGTGCAAAGGGTGTTACACGATCTTTGTATAACTGTCATCCTATTACATGTTTGTATTATCATTCACCGAGTTTAGCGAACGTTGTTTTTGGCCTCATTGTATGACTAGTGTAAAAAAGTTAAGCCCAGAATTCAATAATTTGCCTCTCTGGGTTCCATTTAAAAAATCCAGAAAAACTTAAAGTTTTTTTTTCTCTGCCCTTGTTGAAAATTAGGGGAAAAGAAAGGAAAGAGGAAAATAAAAATTCCTTGCAATCCCACCACCACTAGTTATTGGTGATTTTGGGGGAAAGTTTTATAATGTTTGTTGATTGACTTCCATAGTTTAGCTGGTACAGTAAAAAGAAGAACATTAAATATTAGAAAGGAAGCAGAAAGCACTTCTAGGCCCAAGAAATGCCTATAATGTCTCGCATGAGTGTCAATCTGAGAAGGATTGCAAAAGTTGTAGGAAGGGCCTGGCCCCAACCCTGACTCTGATGAATTTTCCCACCAGCAGGATCACCCATGTATGAGTGCTGTTACTCAGTTTATTCAGGAACACTCCCGTGAGGGTATACACTGAGATTGTGATGCTTTTTTTTTTTTTTTAATGTTTGTTTATTTATTTTGAGAGAGAGCGAGAGAGAGCATGCATGTGAGTGGGGAAGGAGCAGAGAGAATGGGGGAGAGAGAATCCCAAGCAGGCTCCATGCTGTCAGCACAGACCCCCAGTGTGGGGCTCACCCCCATGAACTGCAAGATTGCAACCTGAGCTGAAGTCCAGAGTTGGATGCTCAACCACCTGAGCCACCCAGGTGCTCCAAGATTATGATTCTTTTGATGACAATTATCAAAAGTATTTTAGAAATGTTTCACGTAACAAGGAAAGAATTAGGCTTGATATAAAGTGGTTTATGCTTGTCAAGGGAGTCTGTCAGTGGTTGGCCATTTGCACTTTGGGTCAGAGCGGTACAGAGTAATATTGGCCATGTCAAATTCAGTTTTCTGTGAAAGCCATTTGCTAAGCTGGAATGTATTTTAAAATTTGGTAGAACTTTGAGAATGTATTTTAAAATTACACTTAATGCAAACACGTAGAAGGTGGTGAAAAAGTATATGGGATGGTAATTGTATTTGATTTTTTTAAACACTGTAATTTAGGTAGGGTCAGTGCTCCTTGTCTGGTAAGCTACTTTAGCTACCACGTCTTTATTTCTCCTAGGGCAAAACAAAAGTAGTTTTGTTTAGTAAGTTAAATTGATTGTGGTTTCCTAGCTAAGAAAATCACTGTATGTACACATAGGTATCTAAGTCATTTATTTTGTGAGAAACCCATTAAAGAAATTCCTGTGTGTGTGATTTTGAGAATATTTAGTCACTCTGAGGCTGTTTAAACTTATTCCTGTAGCTTAGTTTTGATGTCAAGGGCATTATTGCCGTTACTTAGTACCTCAAAAAGAAATTAAAGGGATTGAATGGATAGGTTCCATGGTAAGGATTTGAAGATTACAATTCTGGCCTGGGGACATAAAAGAAATTTAGAATTGTAGCTGTCTGGTCAATTTACTGCTTCATTGATTGGGCTGCTGAAAGTTGATTAAGTTTCTAGAAGTAAAGTGCTTTTACCAAATGCTAGTAATGAGAATCTATCCCATAGAGTTCGTCTGTGAAATTGTGTTGGTATTAACGTGTTTATAATCTGCTTTGATATAAGAGTTAGAAAATAGGACTTTAAGTTTTTGTCATTCTTATTTGTTTGAAAGTTACAGGCTTAGAAGCAGCCCTATGGTGTGAACAAGTGCTACCCAAATGACAGGTGCATGTTGAGATACAAAACTTTCACCAGAATGGACATCAGCACGTTGCATCATTTACTTCTTAGAACGTTTCGCTACATAAAAAATGCGAGTTACACTAAACAGTGTGTTTGGTGACATAATTGCTTCACATTCTGCCTCAAGCTCCTTATCTTGTGCTGGATTGCTGTAGTGACCAGCTCCAGCCTGTGTGTGCATGCGTGGTACTTGGAGGAATACTAGTATAAACAATTCATTTTGTAAGTGAGTGCTTTATGTGTTTTCTGATTACACTGTTGGGATTGGGTTGTTTGTTTTTTTAAATTTATTTATTTTTATTATTTTTATTTTTATTTAAGAGAGAGTGTGGGCAAGCTGGGGAGGGGGCAGAGGGAGACAGAATCTTTTTTT